AAGTCAACGTAATGAAAATTTCCTTTCTACCAAAAAACCCCCCCCCCCCCCAAATGAAATTGGTGGAGAAATTCTCAGCTCCATGAGAGACTGTCAGGGAACTTTACTGAGCTATTCTCTTCAGTCTAGTGAAACTGCCCCTTAAAAATAAATATATAAATAAAATATATGGTAAATAAATTCCAAGATAATCAACTAATTATACTGCATTTACTAGAAATGCCAGGGCTCTCACTACAAGTAGCAGTCTGAATGGATCTATGAAACTATTTGAATAAAATAGGTTTCATACTTCGAGACATTCAGGTTCTAAATTCTTCCGAAGCACATTTGCATCTTAAAAGTGAATGTCAAACCTTAAAATGATTTTATCTTCCACTTATCTCAACTGTATTACTTTAATACTAATATCCTAGTAAGATTAAATGCTTAATAAACATTTTAAACGTATATCCTCTTACATTTACAAGATGCTTTCCACTTTAATCATTTGTCAAGTATAGTATCAGGAATAATGGTTGACCATTATTTAAATCTTGGATTTCACATTTTACCTTCATATTAAGAATTAACCTTTTTTTCCCATGCCTCACAAAAAATATATTTTCTCTTTGAAAAAATCATTATAAATTCACAGGAAGCAGAATTATCAAATCAGTCCTATATAGCAGCATATGAATTGAGTCACTGAGTGAAGCTCTTCTTGATGAGCACATTAGGAAAGTTGGCATTCAGTTCTAGGACAACTCGGTTATCAATTTGTGAACAGAAGGACACATCAAGTAAGGACAATTCTTTACAAGACTCCAGCAATTTTCTTAAAGAAGCAGGGCTTACCATTCGTGTGCCTGGAAAAGAAAGAGAACAAAAGGTTAAAGGAAAAAAGTAGTATTTAAAGAAACAAAATATATTGTGCTATTTAAGGAAAGCTGTAATGTTCCTAATTAATCCAGAGCTTTCATTTTAATGCTTTTTTCCTACCGCAACCCATAGCAAAAAGTAGAGTATTTCTAATACCTCCAAATGTTATTTTTGTTTTATACTCTGCATTTTTTATAAGTCACTTTGAATGATGGAATAAATAGAAAGCTGGAATATAAATTAAATAATATTTAGCCAATATGGAATAGAGAAGAATTAAATCTTCGTTCAACCCTACAATTTACTGTATGGCTTGGCAATCATAACATTTCACACTATTTAATCTCATGAGCTTGTTATTATAACAAGAGGGCCCATTTTATCCCCTTCTGCCCTAACTACTCTTTCCCTTTTCCAAGCAAACTAGAGAGTCTGCTCAATAAACCTGTGCAGTATTGATTCCATCTTATCAATTATGTGGGGCGGTTAAGATCACAGTCACCACAAATGCTGATTACAGAAAGTGCAACACAAAAATCGACTGTGGTAAAATGTGGCTTACTTAAGTTAATAATGTGGTGTATCTGTGCTTCAGGCCAAGTGGTGAAAAGCTAATGGCCAAGATAGCATAGCTAGATTGTAATCTGTTGCATATTTACAATGCAACTACAAACCTATCTTACTTAAAATGAGTACGATATGAACAGCAAAATGTAATCTTGGCTAGTACACAGTTCAAGATGAATTCTCGGATCCATGTTTGATACTGATTTCATTTAAGGATAAAGTACATATCACAAACATACTATTTGAGCACATATTCCTTATTAACTGAATAGTTTGTGAATAAAAACAAATACAATTAGTTCTATAATACAACAATATTGTATTGTATAACATGAACCAAGTTAGACTTTATTGCTTCCCCCTACTGGAGATTAAACCATTAATAAAGAATAAAATAACAGCAGCAGGAACAGCTACTTTAGACTAATGGTGGAAAGAATCTCAACCAGCAATGGGCAGAGCCCAGACAAAAATGCAGGTTGGCCATCTCCTTCCCAACAACCTGAATATGACGACTGCATATTGAGGGCTTTTGAAATCAGGCCAAGATCCTTGTGCCCCATTTTTTACTTAGATGGGAAGAATGGTTGAGGAAATCCTCATAATGGAAACTCCTAGAAATACAGGTATGTTATTGCCTCTCCTAGTTTGGGGGGGGGATATTTTTAATGCGCTTATTTCTGTACAGAAACTGAGTAACTGCATTTTGAAACTGTCAAGTAAGCTGATGGTTTTGACAGGCACAAGGGGGACAGTTGGAGCTTTTGGCATTCTAGGAAAATGTGGGAGGCATTTTTTTAGTTTATAGCATCTAAGAAGCAGTTAAGTATTCTTGTGCAAAAGAAGAATGCATTGTTATTCTTCCTTTCATGCCTGAATGGTTTTACATATTAGGGCTTTTAAATATGTGTGAACTTTGCTAGAATTACTGTTTTTAATTCAATGAACTGAGATAGCAATTTAGGTAGGGTGCATACAGATGGTTAAACCCACCATATTCTCCTAAACTGTACTTTATGCTGCCTGGCTGCAGACAAAATATCAAGTGGAAGTTTATTTTTCTGGAGCATGTTTTATGCCCTTATTTAAGCATAATCCAAACATATGTTGCAATTTATGTGATCACATAATGGTTCTGCATATGTTGCTCTGCAAGCAAAGAACAGAACTATACCCTTTTCACATATTACCCATTTTCAAACTTTAGCATTAACAAGCATCTAGTATTAGCAACCACAAAGGAAGAGAAGAGGAAAAGCAGGGATGGGAGCAAGCTGCATCTGAGCACGATCCAAAAGGGTAGGCGATGTTTCCAAGGGTGGTCAGTTTGCATCCTTGTACATACAGACACTCCTTCATTTGTACCTACTAGCTGAGTGGCGGGTATGGGAGCAGGAGCAGAAAATCTAGGCTCAAGCTCACGCTCAGCCACAGAAACTCATTTGGGCCAGTCATTCACTCTCAGCCCAACTAGTTCACAGGATTATTGTAGTGGGGAGGAGGAGGGGGTCCCACGTACGTTGCCTCGAACTTCTGCATGAAAGGCACAGTATAAACGTAACAAATGAATAAACCCCTCTCAAACCAGTATTTTTGCACGGACTCCTATCGTCATGAGATTTAAACATTTTACTGCACAACCTTTATCTCGCTGTTAATTTCTCACTATTACTGACAGCAGGAAAAGGAGTCCTGAGAAAGGATGAAACTAGCTTGTCGTCAAAAGAGATGTTGAAAAGAGATTTATTTTTCTCTGTGGAAAAGATTTCAATGTTTTACATGGCAGAAATTTAACTCAGCAAGGTAGCATATTTTTGTGCTGGGTGTGGAGAGGATCTATACTGATGCATTTAACAGCACCAGATGCACATTTTTCTAATATTTAGGTTGTTTATTTATTGTTGTAATGAAACCTTGAGTATTGGAGAGTTTTGACATAAATGTTTAGAAAGAAACAATAACATATTTCATATTCAGTTACAGTCATTCCACAAACATTCTGCAGCAGTAACTTTCAAGATATTTTGTACAATGAATTAATACAAGTATACAAACAAATCTATCACTTAAAAGGACTACAGTGATGACAAATCCAACAAACCACTTTCCCTCCAAAAATGAAGGCCTTGATAGGCATCCTGGGACTGGAAAAGAAGCTGGCCACAAAAATGTCACCCATATCTCCCACTAAGCTTCCTACCCCACCTGTTTCTATTTTTATTTTATTTTATTTTTAAAATGAAGCTGAAAGTTTTTCATGCTTCAAAGTAAAGTGCTGACTTGTAGCTTCACCTTGTCTATAAGGACCTCCACAGCATTCTTAGAAAATAAAACAGCTAACTTCTGAAATGCACTACCCTTCCTGGAAACACCAACAGTGTAAACTGGGAGATGGTGAAGACATTCTGGAAGTCTCACATAGGGGCAGACAGAAGAGCACAGCAAGGAGAATGTTTTGCCTGTGAGGTGTCTTTTACATACTTTGGCTTTTTTTGACGGTGCATGGTTTGTGTGTGTGTTTTTACAAGGTGTGTGTTTTGCCTGTATGTCACTTGAAGGGTATGGCTCCATTATTTGTGAATTCTTATTCAATAAAGATTGCATGCAAAATAATATGTAGGCATTATGTCACCTGCAAATGTCAGCCGATGAGTCAAATATAGTCAAAGAAAATAGCATTAAACTTCCATTCCTGATGGAAAATGAAGCCTTGCAACCAGCAAATTATAACTAAACCAGCAAAGAATGTTACTGCATAGACTGCATACAATTGGGATCATTTTATGGGTAAGAGAACTTATAACCAAGCACACATATATAAATCTGGTTTCTCAGAGAAATTTAATGCAGTTAGAAGGAAAGCTTCCTGTTCTCTGTCTTCCTCTCCACTGTCTTTTGAAAAATCTCTTTGGAAGTCAGGGAAGCTCCTGGATAATGGGGGAGGGATATAAAAGGATAGCAGAAAATGGGAAAATAAGTTAACACAAGTGTCTTGTTGCCAAGGTCATTTAGAAATTCCCAAGTCTTCCAAGAGACTTGGTGGGTGGGGTAGTGGATTCAAGTTTCAGCAAATGATAACACTTGGCTAAACTTGTCTGGGCTCATGACAAGTTAAGTGAGATTAGTACTTGGATGGAAGTATTATCAGGGAATACCAGGGCTGTAAACTAGACTGGAAAATCCAAAAACATCCAGGTTAGTGGCAAATTACATTAACATACAAAACTACAGTTTTAAGTATGATGAGAAACAGTTTTTTGGGTCTACCGCAGCACAATTGAAAATGTACATTTATTTATTAATATTTAAATCAACATTTTAATTTCTTTTTTAAAGAAGGAGCTTTGCTCTATGCTCTTCAAGAAACTCTTTTATCATAAGGTTCCTACTTTACAAATATATCCTGTCATGCACTATTACAATTCCAAGAGCTTCTCAAAGCTGGCAATAGTACTTGAATGGATTTCAGGAATTCATTAAAAAAAAATCCTAGATCTTTGTTTTTTTCAAAAGAAAAAGTAGCAGCAAAGAATAACTAATTAGACAAATGTTCCCAATTTTGTTAATCAAAGAATTTGGAATTAAACTGATTTATTCCATTACCAATGATTCTTAAAAGCCATGAAGGTAGCTAGTATCAGTTGTTTTTACTTAGCAATCTCTCATCAGGAAAGAGGAGATCCCTAAACATAGTATATCAAAATCACATCTTTATCCAACACAATTTTCTCTGATGTGACACTGATAACAATCAATTAACTTACAGGAGAATTAAATCTTCTTGTTACTTACCCAAAATATCAAGCTGCCGAAGATTAGTACAATTTGCAGCAAGTTCCTCTATGTCAGAGTCACACACAGACCGGTTGGCTGTCAGAAAGAGCTTTTGCAAATTTGGGAGTTTACGGGCAAGTTTTGCAAAGCAGCCCGTGCTGCTCTGAAGAGTTGGGCACCAGCCAAGATCAAGCTCCTCCAACAGTGGACAGCCAGCAGCTAGCTCTGCTATTCCATTTTCAGAAATGTTTTTACATCGCCATAAATCCAATGTTCGAAGTTTTTTGCATTTGGCTCCCATCATACAAGCTATTGTGTCATAGTCCTCAATCTGTCAAATTAAAAATATTTTTTAAAAAACAAATTGTACTATCTACTCTCACTGTAGATATCTAACAATATCTATATTTTGTCTAGACTACAGGTCCAGAAGAAACATAAGTATCAACCATGCAATCGACCTTTAAGACCTTGCAGCAAAAAACCCATTTCTGTTCAATATTCATCAGCAAAATAACAATTTTTGGCACACAATTCCATCCAACATACAATGGGGCTTTTAAGCCTCTGTGCCCTCAGAGATGAAAAATAAAAAACAAATTTAAACAATTCAGGTGGATCTTCCTTAAATG